GTCGTTTGATTACACTCATGAAACAAGTAGAGTAACCAGCCAGTCCTGCTTACTACACTAGACATACCCTCTATTTTGCTTGTGAAGCAACTCATATACCGTAGTTAAAGCCCAATTAGGCAGCGAAGTAGAGTGAATTACTCCAACCAAGTTCAGAAACCCCATACGAGTTTGAGGAGTGCGTTCTCATGGAGATCAATTTAAGTGCTCAAATCAGGCGATGTTCTGAGTAAGATTCCTCGATAATCCGACCACGCATGATCTGCCCAGGATTTGAAGGGATTAAAACTTTCACACTTCGCGACAACAGTACAGTAATCCCTTCATATTGATGCGTTACTACAGGTTCAAAGTTCATTGCGTCAGAATTTATTTCAATATTTTCCTTCTAATATTTCATTCTAATATTTTCCTTCAACTCACTTGAATGCTGAACAGAGTGCTCCAGAAGCCGGCATAGTACATGCGGGAGCCAGCTGGACGTATGCCACCAATGCGGAGACAAACAAGCCATTCTAAACCAGATTGAATCAGAAAAAACCGTAGTATACCTCTCCCTAGTCCATTCTATTGGGGCACTCAGGCCAGTGTACAAAAGTCAATAAATAAATGAATAAATAATTAAATAAATGAATGTTATTGAAAAAAGCAGTCTAAAAGCTGAATACTGGAATATGAAAAATATTCATTGATTTCAGAAAAAGCTCTGTAGGTAGCCTCAGTCCTTGAAATTTATGGCTTTACTGCCCTTGACAAACATTTGAAGGGGTGTCTGAATTCTGGGGACCCATGTGTACTTATGGCAGTACTCAAATGAACTTGTGCAACTCAAGTGCAGGAGGCGAACTCCTGTGATAGACCACAGATCGCTTCCTAGCCCCGTCCCAACTGACTTTCCCCTAAAACATTCAGTGTTTCAGTTGTTTCAACAATAAATACTCAACCAGGGTCTTCATGAACGGACTGCCCGATCTAGGGCTAGGGTCGGGTCAAATGTAAGCTTAAAGGCTTAACTCCGAGCGTGTTCAGGTGGATGAATTCTTTCGGTGAATAAGAGAGAGCTATCCACCGAGTGTCTCGCTCGATGTCTCGCTCTTCCCTATCTAATGGGCCCAACGAGGGCTTTCAATGACCGCTTCGTCCGCTTTCATCTCCCCTCGTCGACAGCACTTTGGTGTCTGTGCTCTCTTATTCGTTGCGCTCTCTCGCCTCTTCTCTATCCTCCACATTCAATCTCTTAGCCCAAAAGTGAACAAGCCCTTGATTTTAAGTTTTCTACGAGTTCGTTTTCCTTCTACTGCTGGCCCAGTTCCTACCGATGCTTTCATTTTCATGTGGAAGAATACTAGCAGTTTGGTCCTGAGGCGTGTCTTCAAGGCAACTAATATTCATTAGCATCTATCGCTCGAGCACAGAGTTTCCTCACTATCGAACCACTCGTAATTTTCTTCCGATAATAGTTGTGATTTTCTGATTAAGCAATTCTCAGAGATCTGCATACCTGCTTGAAGTAGGTCCACTTGGCGCAGAACGAGCCAATCACCGGAAAATTGGCGGCGAACGCGAATCCCTGCAGTAATCGAGCGGCGAGGAACCAGTAGAAACCGAGCTGGAATAAGCGTTATTCGCCGAATAGATTAAGCTATCAGTCAACGTTTGCATAAGCTGTTTGATGACAGCTTGGTTATTTACAGTTCGTTCGCAAAGCACAGCTCAACGTCCGGTTCAACCTGTTTGACCAACTTGAAGCTGGATCAAAATTGAATCAGCGAGTCATTGCAGGATTGTTGTTTTTTTTGTCAAGAACTAGCTTTATAAATTCTTCAAGAAAGTGGTCCCTCTGAACGGAGGACTGCCGTAATCCCATTTAAGGCCGTTCGTACCCTACAGTAGCTACTATCTTAGAACC